ATGAGGTTCCTTGGGAGAGCGGCCTTGTTGTGTCCTCTGTAGTATGAAACGTTTCCACGCCAGGCTACCATCAAGTACTCCGGGATCATTGCCTTGCACAGCATGGCGGCATACGGCCCTGGTCTTTGGAGGCTTTCCCGAAGCATGCGTTCTTTGTCGCTGTCTGAAATACGCATCAGAGTGATGTCGCTCATGGTGACCTGCTTTGAATTAGAGGAATGTTAGTATTGGGACTGCTTCCCTGTTCCTTTACAGAACTGTAACCGCCGGTTTACAGCCATGCGGTGGAGGCGGGAGAGGGGCAGCATAGAGGGATCTTTCCCGGGGACAGCCGCGAGGGGGCGGAGTTCATGCTTGCCGGATTGCTGGCAGCAGGAACTGGCCAACGCTAGGAGCATTGCTTTGAACGTGAAAGTAGGGCAGTGCTATTATTAAAGTTTTAAGCTGCCACAAGTCTACGGCTTACCATGTCAGCCCGCTACCCAAATTCCGCTGTGCTGTTCCGATTCTGTGATCTGCACTGCAAGACCCCAGGGACTGAATGTGAAGGCCAAAAATTCGACCTTGTCCTGAGTGCGTATGTGATAGGTGCTGTGCATGGTCTTGTTCACAGAGAAAGACTATTTTCTTTGTTCACCCAAAAATTTATCTTTCTGAGGAATTCACTCCCTTTTTCCCATCACACAGCTGTGGCTGTCTCCCGACCTAGTCGGAGCGAGGGCAGCGCAGAGTATAGCGGTGGTGCTCCAGTGCTGGCACTTGTGGGGCAGCGGGCTCAGCAGTTCCTGTGTGCGCATGTTCACTACAGCAGGGGGGCTCAGTAGCTGTAGTCGCTGCTATAGGAGGGAGGCGACTGCTCTGTCTCTTTGCCCTGCACTGTCGGGGTTGAACTTCCTGGGTCAGAAGCTGCTGCCGCCTCCATCCATTGCAATCCCGGAACCCGGACTGATCAGCTGCTCCCCAGCGGGGTGTGTGCGGGGAGAGCCCTTCCTTAGCGCCCCTGTGCCCAGCCGGGGGGACTTTCTCCGGGGGCTGGAACCAGCCCCTGGGGCAGCCCCGGGCTCTGCCGACACCAGCCCCTGAGCCGGAGCCTGCAGGTGAGGGAAGAGACCTGGGGGAAAGGGCTGGGGCCGGGCAGGAAAGTGACTCTGCACCAACTGCCCCTCCTCGCCCCAGCTCTGCTCCCGGGCGGGGGCCTGCAAGTCCCAGGGCTGCTGCCCTCCCTGACACCCCCTAGGCTCTGCCCCCCTGAGCGCCTGCAGGAGCCGAGCCAGCTCCAGGAGAGCGAACGCCCCGGGACCGGGCCAGCGATCGAGTCTCCCAGCCCCCGAGGGGAGGGGGCAGGAGGGAGACGGGGAGAGACTGGCAGGGACAGCAGGAGTAGTCAGTGGGGAGGGAGATTCCCGGTTCTCACCCTGGCCAGCTACATTCCCTGCAGCACCCCGCAGAAAGTCAAGCAGATTGACTTTCCTTGGACAAGGTGAAGGACAGGGAGCAGAAAAGCTAGTTCCTGCCTCTGCCTAGTCCCGGCGCTGCTGGGGGAATGTGCTGCCCTGGGGACAGTGTCAGGGGGACCCCCCCCAGCCAAAGCGGCTCCTTGGATTCTGCTCTTTCATGACTGCTGGAGCACACAGTGACACTGTTGGATGCACAATTTTAGTCTAAAGGACCCTTTTCAGATGCTTATAACATGTTCAGTGTTACTAGATGAACCTTGCTTCTACCACTCTGGCAGTTCCTATGTTGATCTTTACAGTGGACAGTCTCGCTCTTGGGTGAATTTATTTCTGAAAGTTGAATGAAGAACCAGCTTCTGAACTGTCTCACTTCACTTTGCCCACAATTTACCTGGCCTCATTATTGTCAAGCCTAAATTTAGGCCCCCAAACCTCTGTTCTAGTTACATTTTGGCATCTTTCTCTTGAACATAAACACACATCACTTTCAGAAGCTACAGTTTGCTGGCTCAGCAATTTGAATCCCAGACCATAGGGATTTGCAATCTAACTTTAGAGGGTTTTTTTAATATCTTGGCTCAAGTATTGCCCCAGAATGGCGGCGTCTAGAATGTCTGTCAGCAGGGAAAGAACTGGGGGGAACTGAAACCTCCCCCGGCACCCTCCTCATGCTGACAGGCTGCAGAATAACACCCACGTTTTGCTCCAGGTTGTCCCATGCCCTCCAGAGACAGGGAAGGGAAATGACTGCAGTGGAGCTGGTGACCTTTGAGGAAGTGGCTGTGTATTTCTCTGAGGAAGAATGGGCTCTGCTGGACCTGGGTCAGAGAGCCCTCTACCGGGATGTCATGCGGGAGAATTATGAGACTGTGACTTCGCTGGGTAAGGATGTATAGCCCCTTGGGAAGTAGATGCTGCAGGTGTCTCTAAAGCACCGGGGCTGGTTTCTGTGAAGGAGTCTTCATTGGTCCCCCAGATATCAGGAGGATCAGCCCCTAGCTCCTGTGTGTGAGACTGTCCCTCCCACATCCACTCCCACAGAACAGAAGCTTCAGGGACATAATGATGATGCTACTCTTCCCATAACCAAGGTTTTCAAGTGCGACAAATTCACTCTCTACTCCCCCTTCCCAAGGCAAGTTCCAACTTCTGGGGACTCTGAGCCCTCTGCCATCTCACAGATGGACAAGTGTCTCATGACTTGGCTCTTGCCTAAGACCCCAGTGGCCAGATTTTCAAATACACTTACGGCAGGTCTATGCTACCGCTTAAGTCAATTTAACTTATGTCGCTCAGGGGGTGTGAAAAAGACATCCCCTGAGTGAGGCAAGTTACGCTGACCTAACTGCTGTCCACGCCAGTGCTATGTTGGTGGCAGACGCTCTCTGGCCAACATAGCTTCTGCCTCTCTTGGAGGTGGAGTAATTATGCCACTGGGAGAGCGCTCTCCTGTTGGCATAGAGCATCTTCACCAGACACACTACAGCAGCATATATAGCGCGCTTCTAGTGCAGCCACAGCCTCTTGGAGAGACAAACACTGGAGGAGCAGGCAGCCAGTGAGTTCCCACCTTCCTGGAGGTGCTGGGATCAGACTTCAGTCCTGGGACTTCAGGCGCCGTCCCCTGGACTCACTGCCCCCTCCCCCTCCCCATTGCCCCTGGCACCTCCCTACCCACGTCTCCGTCCAGGATTTAATTTGTTCCTGGACTTGCCAGGGCTGAGTAAATCCCCTGTAAAAGGGATACACCTCTACCTCGATATAACGCTGTCCTTGGGAGCCAAAAAATCTTACCGCGTTATATCGAACTTGCTTTGATCCACCGGAGTGCGCAGTCCCCCCCCGAGCACCGCTTTACCGTGGTATATCCAAATTCGTGTTATATTAGGTCGCGTTATATAGGGGTAGAGGTGTATTTGTATTTGTTTATTAATATCACTTTTCACAGCAGACTTAGTAGCTAGCTGTGAGGCTGTGAAAAGTGATGTTAATATACAAGTATCACTTTTCACAGCAGCAGACTTACTAGCTAGTAAATCTAAAGAAAACCAACCAAAAAACCCCCAAAAGAAACAACAACAAAAAAGACAAGAACATGCAAAGCACCTTATTTGTGTTTCTATTCTGTTTAGGTCCAGTAAAGAATAGAGACAACTGTACATTTTTATTATTGAGTCTGCAAAAAACCTCCTACATAAATAAATTACAATGATTTGGACATGTGCATGTGCATATTTATTTGTTTTTCTTAAAGTTAATTAAGTATTTTAGGGAAAATTGTCAGAGCAGCCACCAGCAAGAGTTGGTGGCCGCATTCTGAGGCTACCAAAAATGTGTTGTGAGGACCCCCTAGTCCAGTGTCATGGATCTGGGATTGGGTCTGGCTGTTGTTAGTGCCTTCACTAAGGGCTCCCTCTTGTGCCAATGTGCCAAACTCCTGGAAGGAGGGCATTGTTCCTGGTGTCTCTTCCTGGCTGTGGTTGGTCTCTGTGAAGTGATGGTTCCTGGTAGTGAGAGGGGCTGGGTTCTGGGGCTCAGTGAGGGTTAATGACGTAATTTATGGTCTAGGAGTGTTCTGTGGGGTCTGTCACTATAGTAGAAAAAAGCGAGGAGGGCTCTTGTGTTTCAGGCTCTGCCCTGTGACTCAGGAGACCTGGATTCAATTCCAGGCTCTTCCACAGCCTCCCTGTCTGACCTCTTGTAAATCACTAAGGGTATGTCTACACTACAGGATTAATCTGAATTTACAGAATTCGAATTTTGGAAACAGATTGTATAAAGTCGAATGTATGTGGCCACACTTAAGCACATTAATTCGGCGGTGTGCGTCCATGTACCGGGGCTAGCGTCGATTTCCGGAGCGTTGCACTGTGGGTAGTTATCCCATAGCTATCCCATAGTTCCCGCAGTCTCCCCCACCCATTGGAATTCTGGGTTGAGATCCCAGTGCCTGATGGGGCAAAAAACATTGTCGCAGGTTGTTGTGGGTACAGCCTCACCCCTCCCTCCATGAAAGCAACGGCAGACAACCGTTTCGCGCCTTTTTTCCTGGGTGAACACAGCAGACGCCATACTACGGCAAGCATGGAGCCCGCTCAGCTCAAGACAGCAGTCATGAACATTGTAAACACCTCGCGCATTATCGTGCAGTTTATGCTGAACCAGGACCAGAAAAACGAGGCAAGGAGGAGGCGGCAACAGTAGCACGGCGACAAGAGTGATGAGGACATGGACATGGACACAGACTTCTCTCAAACCGCGGGTCCTGGCGCTTTGGAGATCATGTTGTTGATGGGGCAGGTTCTATCCATGGAATGCCGATTCTGGGCCCGGGAAACAAGCACAGACTGGTGGGACTGCATAGTGTTGCAGGTGTGGGACGATTCCCAGTGGCTGCGAAACTTTCGCATGCGTAAGGGCACTTCCATGGAACTTTGTGACTTGCTTTCCCCTGCCCTGAAGCGCCAGAATACCAGGATGAGAGCAGCCCTCACAGTTGAGAAGTGAGTGGTGATAGCCCTGTGGAAGCTTGCAACGCCAGACAGCTACCGGTCAGTCGGGAATCAATTTGGAGTGGGCAAATCTACTGAGGGGGCTGCTGTCATGCAAGTAGCCAAAGCAATCATTGAGCTGCTGCTACGAAAGGTAGTGACTCTGGGAAATGTGCAGGCCATAGTGGATGGCTTTGCTGCAATGGGATTCCCTAACTGTGGTGGGGCGATAGATGGAACCCATATCCCTATCTTGGCACCGGAGCACCAGGGTACCCAGTACATAAACCGCAAGGGTTACTTTTCAATGATGCTGCAAGCACTGGTGGATCACAGGGGACGTTTCAACAACATCAACGTGGGCTGGCCAGGAAGGGTTCATGACGTTCGCGTCTTCAGGAACACTACTCTGTTTAAACGGCTGCAGCAAGGGACTTACTTCCCAGAAAATAACCGTTGCGGATGTTGAAATGCCTATAGTTATCCTTGGGGACCCAGCCTACCCCTTAATGCCATGGCTCATGAAGCCATACACAGGCAGCCTGGACAGGAGTCAGGAGCTGTTCAACTACAGGCTGAGCAAGTGCAGAATGGTGGTGGAATGTGCATTTGGCCGTTTAAAAGGTCGCTGGCGCACTTTACTGACTCAGACCTCAGCCAAACCAATATCCCCATTGTTATTGCTGCTTGCAGTGTGCTCCACAGTCTCTGTGAGAGTAAGGGGGAGCCTTTATGGTGGGGTGGGAGGCTGAGGCAAATCGCCTGGCTGCTGATTACGTGCAGCCAGACACCAGGGCAATTAGAAGAGCACACGGTGCATCAGAGAAGCTTTGAAAACCAGTTTCGTGACTGGCCAGGCTACCGTGTGAAAGTTCTGTTTGTTTCTCCTTGATGAAAACCCGCCTCCTTTATTGACTCATTTGCTGTAGGCAACCCACCCTCCCCCTTCGATCACAGCTTGCTTTCAAAGGAAATAAAGTCACTATCATTTAAAAATCATGTATTCTTTATTAATTGATTATAAAAAGAGGGAGAGAACTGAGAAGGTAGCCCGGGTGGGGTTTGGGAGGAGGATCGGAGGGAAGGAAAAGGCCACTAAAAAAAGGTTAAAATAATGACAGCCTTTTACTTGGGCTGTCTACTGGGGTGGAATGGGAGGGTGCACGGAGCCTCCCCCCCTCCCCCGCATTCTTACATGTCTGAGTGAGGAGGCTATGGAACATGGTGAAGGGGGAGGGTGGTTATACAGGGGCTGCAGCGGCAGTCTGATCCTGCTGCCGTTCCTGAAGCTCCACCAGACTCCGGAGCATGTCTGTTTGCTCACGCAGCAGCCCCAGCGTTGCATCCTGCCTCCTCTGATCTTCCTGCTGCAACCTCTCATCTCGAGCGTCCCTCCTGTCCTCACGTTGGTCCATCCTGTCCTCACGTTCACTGGCATCTTTCCTATACTTTGAAACCGTGTCCTTCCACTCATTCAGATGAGCTCTTTCATTGCGGGTGAATTCCATGATTTTCACGAACATCTCGTCTCGCATCCTCTTTTTGCAGCTGCTGGAGGGAGGGAAAAAAGGAGAGAATTCTTTAAAAAGATACATTTTACAGAACAATGCTTATACTCTTTCACGGTGAACAACACTAGTCACATTACTTAGCACATGTGATTTCTGTGCAAGGTCGCATTTTGCCTCTTAATATTGAGTGCCTGTGGCTTTGCTGCTAGAGATCACAGACGCAGGTCCGGGCAACAGAATTCGGCTTGCATGCGGCCATGGTAAGCCATTGTCTTTCGACTGCTGCACCCTCCTTTCCGACATACCAAGCAAAGCTCGTTGAGTGCTGCTGTTTTCCTGTTAACCTTCAGCAGCAGAAAGCAAACTAACCCCCTCCCCCCCATCCAATTCTCTGGGATGATTGCTTTATCCCTCCTCCCACCGTGTGGCTGGTATCAGGGAAGATCTCTGCTAGCCACACGTGAAAAGCTCAGCCCCCCCCCCCGCGCTTGGCTTACTACAGGGAAGGATTTATTTTCAGCCACAGGCAAACAGCCCAGTAGGAAGGGCCACCTCTGTCCCCTTAATTAAATTCCCGTATTTCAACCAGGTTACCATGAGCGATATCACTCTCCTGAGGATTACACAGCAAGCTAAAGAACGGATGTTGCTTGAATGCCAGCAAACATCGGGACCATACGCTGCCAGGCTTTGTCATGCAATGATACCAGATTACTTGCTATTAGCATGGCGTGGTCAAGTGTCCTACCATGGAGGACGGAATAAGGCTGCACTGCCCAGAAACCTTCGACAAAGGCTTTTGGAGTACCTCCAGGAGAGCTTCATGGAGATGTCCCTGGAGGATTTCCGCTCCACCCCCAGACACGTTAACAGACTTTTC